GTGTGTGTGTGTGTGTGTGTGTGTGTGTGTGTGTGTGTGTGTGTGTGTGTGTGTGTGTGTGTGTGTGTGCAACAGAAAGATGACTAAGAGCCTCTGTCAAAAACTGTGTGCGACTAACCATTACCTTTGAATATTGCTGTTTGGCTTCGATAACAGATCATCTGTGAAATTTGCTCTCCATGTGTACGTGAGATGCATTGCAGTTGGATAAAYAGAGCAGCTCAAGCAGAAGAAATCAGTTAAGCATGCATTAGCTGATTGGGTTGTTGGTTTAATTCCAATGCAGAGCCCAAATAATTCAGCTGAGAACTACAACAGGCATGAGAACCATGGAAAACAGTAGAAAAGACCACATCTCATAGTTTATTATAAATATTAATAATAATAATAATAATAATGAACTAATTCCTGTTTGGTTAGTGGTAAGCAAATGGTGAGAGGAGAGTAAGTGTAGTTTCTCACAGTTTTCAGATTCTTGGGCCACCTGAGGTAAAGGAATCTGGGGCACTGTGAGGTTGGCCTCTTAGAATTTAATCAGCCACCAGCAAAATGAGAGCCAATATATGGAGGGTGAGAAGCCCACATTCATTGTCTGCTGCTTTAATTTGATTTCTTTGAGTGAGCAAAGTGATTTGGCCATCTAATGCAGCAGAGCAACATTTGATGAATCTGTCTGTGAGCTGCTAAGTGCAGCTTGGTTAAAGTGGCCTGTTGGACACGGAGGTTCTGATTGGGTCAGTYACACTCAGAGTCTCAGCTCTCAATTAGTGGGGCAATATGTTTAAARTTGTGATAAGACCACAAAATTTAGCCAGTCTATATGTTTATGAGGTTTGTGTTCAGATTTTMCTTTAAAAACTGAAAAGTAGAGTGGCACAAAACACTGAAATTACCTTGTTATCGCAGTAAAATTGTTTACAATCAGTTGCTTTTAGGTGCCATGCCAATCATTTAAACCCTCACTGGTTTAGATGCTAGTAGCCTTAATGCTAAATCAAACAGAGTAGATTTATCAAAACTGACATTATCACACATCTAACATAGCACAGCCCTGACTTGAAGCTGACRGGGACTGATTTTCTTCCACATGATGCGTAAAAAACGGTTTTACCTTGTACCACACAATTTTCAGCTCCACCCCGGGCTGGATATAATCCTCAATATTTGGGCAGGTGATGTCTTTGCTTTTGCTCAGCTCTGCCTTCTCGAAGAACCTCATTTTGGAGTTGTAGCAGAGGTCTGTGTCGTTCTCTGCCACCGTGAGGGACATGGACACCTTCATGCAGTAAGTGGAGTTCCTGCAACGACAATTAACATTCGTGTGAGGGAAATAAATGTGGAATCAAAATAAAAGTTTCTACCTCTCAGATGCGAGGGAACGCTCGACGAGATTCACATCAAATCAAAGTTGTTCATTTATATGCGTTGCTGAGTTTGAAAAAAATCCTAAGGGGGTAAAAATGTGTGTAAAAATTCATAATTTAGGCCTTAGTTAAATTAATTCTCACATAAAACTATCATTTTTAATCCAATGTTTTCTTGTGCTTTCTACTACAGCCCCGAGACAAATKACTTTTTTTGTTTACAAATACATTTGTAGTGTGTGTACATTTCAAAGACTAGACATTCGTGGGTAATGTGGAGCAGCAGCCCTGAATATCAACATCYCCTGAAGATTGATGAAGCCTTTTGTTTTCATGCATTAGGCAGATTTAGTGTCAGCTACAGTAGCAGAAAATTACTTGCTRCAACTGATGTAGCATAACTGCTCAGGTCATATACATAAAGACAGGAATTTATAAGGCAAGGAAGAGACGGCGTAAAATGCAAAATTACTTGCAACATCTGGAGACTTCATGCTTGCCTGTTTCCAAAGATAATGGTTACAATTCATTTTCAGTGGAATAAACAGAATATCACTGCTCAGTAGCGGGGTTTACAGGACCTATTTAAAGTAAACAAAAACCTGCTCTTTATTTTCCTTCCCCTGAATTTAACTRTTTTGAAGCCAGGTTTCATTTGCAYGCTTGGGTAGAWTTATACAGAGGTTCAGCCATTTCATTTTTTGGGTCAAATCAAGCTCCTTTCAAGATGGCCGCAAGTATGCCATGATATAAAGGCAGTATCTCATAGACTGCTGGGGAACAGCATCCAGAAAATATTTTCTTACTGTACTTAAGTAGAATTTTTCAATATCTGTACTTTACTTGAGTAATTATTTGTCAGCCTACTTTTTACTTTTACTTACATTTTCACACAATTATCTGTACCATACTCCTTTCATTTTTTAAAAAGGCAAGAAGTAGAAAGTTGTTACTTTTATTTAATTTTTGCTTGTTTTCATTCCAGCTTGTTATTGAAAAATATAMATTMTATCCATATAAATTGTGCCTCCTACATAGAGTGAATTTAATTGTGGTTGAATGAGAAGTATAAATATATAAAATTCTGATACAGTATCAGTTTGTACAAAAACAAATCCTGTCACACTCCACCAGGACATAACCATTAAAATAAAAATAACTACTTAAGGAGTATTTGTATTTCATGAATTATATTATAGCATTTGGCCACAGCCCTCAGATAGATTTTTATTTTGGAGAAAAGTTTTGGGCAGCCTTGAAATATGTATATAAACTGAAACAGCTAAACATTGCATCCTAAATTTAACATTATTAATTATTTTAATACAACAGTCATTTCTGCATTTTTTGGGGAGGTCACCTCCTAATAAATGTCATTACAGAAAATCTAACTGCTCATTTTAAATCAATAATTTTACTTTTAATACTTAAAGTATAAAAAATAACAGATACTTTAAGACTTTTATTCAAGTAATATTCCCAAAGGAGACTTTAACTTTTACCAAAGTAATTTTTTTTGGTAAGATACTTGTACTTTTACTCAAGTATCACTTTGTGGTACTTTATACAACACTGACAGCATCCCTGGGAAATCTCTAAAATATCTTGTAAAATTTGTGCAATGTTGTGTTAAAATTTTTGACAGGAAAAYTGAAAATTCAGGGAGACTGCAACTGGAAATCTGCCTGTTTTTTTCAATATTTCAAGTCATCAATGAGTTTCCAGGGAAAGACTATATAAAAGAAGACACCTCATACTTAAASCCCATTGCTGGTTGCTTGTATTATTACCAAACTCTACTTGAGCCATAACTCTGGTTTAGCCTCACACAGTGACCATTTCAACTCTGTGGCTGCTTCGATTAGCAGCTCAAAGGCACAACAGCAGCTGGTTGACTTTAACCCCATGATGCTCCACTCTTTCCATAGATCACACATATACATGTAGAAGGTATCTGAGGCTTGGGACTGATGTCTTCTGCATGTGCAATCCACAACTTATCATTTCAAATTATCCAACCAGTGTTTTATTGAATTTAGGTCAGGCAAAACATTGGCTAGGTCATAGTCTGATTATTTTTTTCATTCTCATTATTTTGGCGGGGAGCTTGGGATTGCAATAATGTTGAAAAATACTTTCTCTGCCACTTTCCTGGGAACAGAAAGTCATCCTGCCTCAGGCTTTAAGAGGCATCATCAAATGAGGCCATAGGTTGGGTTAAATTATGCAATTTTCTTCATATTGTCTGAGCTGTCACAGAAACCGCTGTGCCTAGACTGAAGCATTYGCTCATCTTTTTTTTAAGTTTTTTTGTTTTCAGAGCTAGATATAGAATGAGCTGTGGCTCAGCCTCTTGTTCCATACCTTCTGATTTCTGCTGCAATTTTGTTTTCACTGGTGATCAATACTTCTGTGTAGCTTCCTGTCTTTATACAACGTTGCAATCAGCTTTGTCAAATCCTTTGTCAATTCTGACATATCAAGCCTTGATGAAAACACTAAAATACAGCAAACACAGCTCAAATGAGTTCTACTCATTATTTGTTATCACTCACAGCCAAAGACAAAAGGCAACACTGTTTTTAATTGTGTGTGTGTGTTTGTTTGGAGTTTTAGCTAAACGTGTGAAGAACCAGTACGTGCATTTCACTGAAACTATAAAAAGTAATCATTGGATTTATCCATTGAAGATGGAAATGACACAACAAACAAACAAAAAATGATGATAAATCAGTCAATTTTACAGATCTTGATCTAAAACTTGGTGTGTTAGTAAGAGGCACCCTCAGTACAGTCTTTGACATCGCAGAAGATCTCACAATGTCATTATGTATCACATCTTTTCAAAGGTTTGTCAAACKTTGTTTCTTCTCAGCATGACTTCTTTTTAAAGCTCTCACGTGAAAAGTGGTGGGCTATGTTCCTTCCTTAAGGCTAGGCCTTTAATTATTATCTGTATTTCCCTTTTATTGAGGGCTCTTGTCGTTAACATAAAACCAATCCAGGCTGAGCATTCTCCTGTGTTTATGCAAAAGCTTGTAACGATCCTGATCACATCTCCTCTGCATAAAGTTTGGGATCAGACCTGCTGCCTGAGTAATTCTTAACAGAACATAAAAATCCATTTCCATATTGATTCGCTGGGAAAGTTGTGCTATTTGACAGCGGAGATAAGAAGCAAAAGGTTCTGAATGATCAATGGATTCGATAGAGGCACCTTTTCTTTGCCCAAACTGGCTAATAAGACTGTCACAGCTGACGAGCACTCCGGCCCGACTGCAGCAAATCCCTCCTGCTTTAAAGACCAAACAAATTGGCAGTATTTAGGAAAATCTCGCTGCTAATTTTCAAACTAAAGCTGGTTACACAAATTGAGCTGAATCAACAAACAATTACAAACATGTTAAATCCCAACATAATTGTGCCGTATTAACTGCCATGTGGATTAGGACAACACACGCYGGTCTTCGCTACAGTATCAGCTTTAAAATCCCCCGTCCTTTTAACCGGCCAGCTCCTCTTACAATGAGCGTGCTGTTTTCATGATGCAAATGGGACATGATGTGAAGATTATCTCAGACAACTTCTACCAGATGGACACCTGTGCAAATGAGATCCCACTGGTGCACTCTTTTTTTTTCTTCTGTTATATATTCTGGGCTGCACTGATAAACTCATCAGCTGAGAGAGAGAGAGAGAGCAAGAGAGAAAAAAAAAGTGTCATCTGCTCCGCTTGAGTGATTGATGGTGTGAGCCAACATTTTGTCCTACGGTGTCTTTCCAACATTTTATATCCATCAGAATGCTTTCTGAGGCTGCAGAGTCAGGTGATCTCCTGCCAGTGCACTCAGCAGGTAAACAGAAATGTCCRAGCTAATTTAAAACAAACTAGCAAACAAAAACAAAATAAACCCTAGAAGTGTTTAAATGAATGCAGAACACCCACAGCTTCTCATGGCAGTTTTCATTATCTTATGATAAGGGATAGAATTAGAACAATTTAGGTTAAACCAATGCTGTGCGATATAAATATTTCATTGCAAGATGCTGTAAAGCTTAAAGTATGTTTAGAATGAATCTCTGATATTACAGAATTAAACTTCAGCTCAACAGTTGCACATTTGACTAAGTTAAATGGGCAATATCATGTAAAATCAACTTTTTTGAGTTGTATATCATGTTATAATGTTATACTCTCATAAAAAAACATGTCCAAAGCCTTGCTTTGACTCATTCATGCATGTTTGAGAAATCCTGCAGTGTTTTTAGGAAGCCATGCTGAGGAGCAAAACAACAGGTGGGGACCAGAAACGCCTTTTGGTACCAGAAACACCCCTGGGATGTGCCTTTAAGCCGAACTTCCTCATCACGGAGCACCACCCCCGACCCCACACACCCCACCCATGACGCCTGCAGGCTCTTGACAGTAAAAAAGCAAAGTGAAAGTGAAACTCAAACTGTCTGCTGCTCTTAACACTACTGCTCACTCAGTGAAGCTCTTTTCAGAATCAAAATACCATTGAGGAAGTGTATTTTCAGATGCCAAGTAAACTGCATCACAGCGCACACGAGACACCGCCCCCCCCCCCACACACACACACACACACTGAAATGGGCGGGGCAGAAGCGGAAGGTGGTTCTTAAAGAGACAGAGGCCAATTTCAAGGCGTTTAGAAGAGGAAGTGATGAGAAGATAAGTTTATTTTCTATTTAAACATAAAAACAGCATTTTAATACCAACTAAAGGTGACATAGATACTTTATTATGGTATAGTGTTTAAATATATGCCTGAGAAACAYATAATATTGCCCCTTTAAAATCTTTCTCTGTGTTGGCTGATTAATTCTGGCTGCTATCTTGAATTCACTTTACTTTAAAAATATATCAGTTGTTGTAGATGTACATCAAATATTATGWAGTTAGAGTGAAAACT